TTCCGCACCCGCCGTACTCCCCAGACCTGGCGCCATCTGACTATCACCTCTTCGCATCAATGGGGCACGCGCTCGCAGAGCAGCACTTCAGCAATTTCGAGGAAGTTGGAAAATGGCTCGACGAATGGTTTGCCGCAAAAGACAAGCAGTTTTTCTGGCATGGTATTCATAAATTACCTGAAAGATGAGCGAAATGTGTAGAAGCCGATGGCCAATATTTTGAATAAAAAAAAATTAATTTCCCTTGAAAATTACGTGTTTTTTTTTACCAAAAAACCGGAAAAAACTTATGCATACACCTGGTATGTAGGGTGTCACGTGAGTACTTTTGGTTTCATTATTCACAAATACATCCCGTATTCTCCACTTATTTAGCTATTCTTCTATTTTGTATAGGTTCTTTTGCAGGTTTGCAGTAGCGATGCTAGGATCTGTGTCTCACGATAATAAGGCAGTATCGTCTGCAAAAGTACACACCAGAACATTCAGATGCACGAGAAGGTTCGTTTTATAAAGAAGATAAAATAGTAGTTCTAGTATACTTCCTTGTGGTACCGATGCACTTATCGGTGTTAGTTTCGATACAGCGTCTTGGTATTTGACTTCAAAATATTAATTTTCTATATAAGATTTTAATAATAAGTAGAAAGAAGGTATTATTCTTTTTAGCTTATGTAAAAGGCCAGTATACCAGAACTTATCGAAGGCTTGGCTTATATCAAAGAATACTGCTGAGCAATATTTGTTTTTCTCTAGAGCTTCATTAATTTTGTTCACTAACCTATAGAATGGTAGTATGTTTTTCCCTGAATCCAAATTGATGCTGTGGAATATGTTTTTTAATTAATGGTTTAATTCTTTCCAGTAGTAGTTTTTCAAAAACTTTTGAGATCTGCGGAAGCAAGCCAATCGGTCGGTATGATGATACCTTATTTGGATTTTTTTGCGAGTATGGATATTATAATGATTTGAGCAATTTTCCATTTTGTGATGGATAACAACTAGTTCTAAGGATTGCATTAAATATGATTATCATTAACATTATTCCTTTCTTAGAAAGCTGCTTGAGCACTTCAGCTGTTATAAGATCGTATCCTGGCGTTTTTTTATTGTTCAAATATTTGATCATTTTAATCACCTCTTCAGGAGAAACACTTCAGGAGAAACACTTTTGATCGGTAGAAACATAGGAAGTGGAGCTCGAGGGAAATCCATTTTTTTTTTCATCGCGTGGCTCTTGTAGGGAGTGTGGTTTAAAAACCTTTTGCAGATGCTCGACAAAATAGTCAGCTTTTTCTTGATTGCTTTTCGCTCAAAGCTTATTTTCTTTTTTGATGGGAGGATTGTGTTCTTTTGGTCGTTTCAAATTTTTGGTAACCTTCCATAATGAGTAATTTGTGTCTGCGGTGTGGGATAATGAGAACAGCTTGTTTTGTAACGAGATTTCTTTTATCTCTCTTATGAGCAGTTTTAACTCTTGAGTGCATCTATTGAAGTTTTATCTATCTTCTGAGTAGCAGATTTGCCATATAGTTCTGAGTTTGCGGTTTTCCTTAATTTTATCTCTAACATATAGCGGGTATTCTTTCTTTTGGATAGTTTCTTTCCTGATAACTGGTATTGCTTTCCAGGCCGTTTGAATTATGCTGTTAAGATGTTCAACAGCGGTTTCTATTTGCTCCTCTTTTTTAAGAGCATATTCAGTTTAACAATATCATTAATTCTACTTTTGAATAGCTCCCAGTTCGTGTTACAATCATACACAATATACAATCTAGGTATGTCTTCTCTAAATAGAATGTCTGTACTAACTATCAGTAATATCGGTATGGTCGGACGAGAGATCGTTGTCTGACTTTATATGTAGATAATTTTGATTAATTGCTTTGCATATGAAAAAATCTAATAGGTCAGGTGTTTTGCATGGATCGGCAGGTCAGTATGTAGGTTCTCCCGTAGAAGGGTATACCAGATTGTGTCGACATATATAGTTATATGTGTCGACATATTAAGTTG